ACAGTTTCTAGCTCCACGCCTGCGAATACTAGTCGCTTTCATTGTTGAACTACTGTAGGGAGGAATGTGTTGCAGCAAAGCCTGGAGATCACTGGGAGAGCCTAAGAGAAATCCAAGCGGGGTTCAGTGCTCCCTAACTCGCTAGCAAACTTGAGGGGGAGGTGTGGGAATTGCCAGGCTGCTGGGGTCCAAACTTACCCAAGGTACCGATCGCTGCTGCTCTTTTCTATAGTCAGCATCTGCCCAAGGCTTCCGTTTACTGCAGTTACCATGGCAACGCCACCCCGCCTTCGGGAGAGCGGAGACGGGCGGGCCGTGAGACGCATGCGCAGCCCCGCGCCGGCTTTCAGGAAGAGCGGGGTGCAGAGTCCCACCAGCTGTACTATTCGGCTGATGACGCAGGTTCAAAGTCAAGGAGAAAGCCCCACATCCTACCAGTTTATTACACCGTAAAGAAGGTCATGTTGATAGTTAAGTGACTTCTGAATCCTTTCGAAGATACCTAAAATTCCACAATGGCCCAAAGAGGCACTGAACGCCGCAGTCCTATATTAAGGTTTTTAAACTTAGAATTTGAGAAGGGTGCTAGGAGACGGTAGGCAGCTTGCCAGCAACAGCAGCAGCAAAGGTTCATCGCGGAGTTTTGTGGTTTTTAAGCTATATTATCTCTCTTGGCTTTTAAGAGTAAATACAGTTTTACTGTTGGGGGCTCCCTGGTAACAGGACTCTGGGTGTACACCAAGTATAGGCCTAGCTTACAGATTTCTAGGTTTAGCAGTTTGTCCTTCAACAGCTCTGTGGTACAGCGATCATGCTGATTTTTAAGTACCTAGCCTAATGTTATGAGTTACAAAACATCATTTAAAAATGGCTACGACAATGCAATAATATGTGACAAAGGACTTTGTATCTAGTATATAAAGAACTCATAATTCAATAAGAAGAAACTATCCCAATTTTTTAAATTGGCAAAAGATTTGAATACTTCACCCAATCAGATGTATGAATGGTCAACAGCACATAGGAAGATGATTAACAGTGGTCATTAAGCAGATGCGAACCACAATACACATCATTCCACATCCACCAGAATGGGTAGAACTAAAAAGACTGTCAACACCAAATGTGGATGTGGAGCAACCGAAACTCTGATACACTGCTATGGGGAATGCAAAATGGTACCACCGTTTTGGAACACCAGTTGACAGATTCTTAAAAAGTTAAATATATGCCAACCCGATCCACATACAAGGTATTTTTACCCAAGAGAAACAAAAACCTATGTATACACAAAGCCTTGTACATGAATGTTCATTGCAGCTTTACTCATAATAGCCAAAAACTAGAAATAACACAAACGGCTATTGACAGGTGAATGGATAAATATCCATACAATACTACTCAGAGATAAAAAGGAAGAAACTGATACAGCAAAGGTGAATTTCAATTATGGTGAGTGAAGGAAGCCAGACACAAAATAGTACACAGTGTACGAGAGTACTTCAAGAAGTGTATAGAAAAATAGAATTAACAGATAATATGAATCTTTCCATGAACTTTTTGAAGTACCCTCATACTTTTGAAGTACTCTCATATTATTCCCTTTATACAAAATGCAAACAAAAAGTAGGTCAGTGGTTGCCTAGGACTTGGGCAAAGGGAGGGATGCACTGCAAAGAGACACGAGAAATCTGTTACACGTTTTCCAAAACCTCTATATCATGCATTTGCTGTTAACAGTAAAATGTCTTTAGTCAAGTATCCTCTAGGACTAAAAAACAGACTATTATCCTTCCTATCAGTTAGTAAATGGTATACCCAGGTGTCTGAAAAGCTAGAAAAGACAGGGTAAACTTATTTTTAAACAGCATGTTAGTTCCATTTTCAAGTAATATGCTCAATATGTTTTCTTTCAACCTCCAAATATCTTCTCAGATGAAATACCCGTAAATTTAAAGCACTGTGTCCAACTGTTAATCTGAGAAAAATACAATAAATTCACTATACAATGTCTAAAAAAATGAAAACGCTGGGAAATAGTGTATTATTTGTACACAAAAAATTTGGCAGTCATCATTACTGAGTGCTTATTGTGAGTCAGGCCCTGTTCTCTGCACATTTACATATATTTACTTCACTTATCACGAGCCTCTAAGGAAGATATATATTTTTCTGACTTTCAAATGGGAAAGATGAGATTAATTTGCTCAAAGTACGCAGTCCAAGTATCATGTGAATGCAAGCTTTCTGGCTGCAATACTTGCACCCTTAGCCACTATGCCACATCAGTTAGTTCTCATAAATGACAAGTCCAATAATCACAAGAAAGAGCTTCAAATCCTGGCTTTACCTCTCACAAGCACTCTATATTGGGCAATTTACTTCACCTCTAGGGCTCACTTTCCTCATCTCTAAAGGTGCTGGGCTTGGGGGGCATGGGTATTTAAAAAACCTCTAATTCATTGGGCCACTATGAGATTTAAATGAGATAATGGTGATACTGCTGCTTAGCACAGCCTGCCACAGTAATGGCTCAATAAAGGACAGCTATTATTACTATGCTGCCACCGTACTACAAACACTGTAAGATATGTCTACTCTGCATCTAGAGGCAGTGTAGTATACATAGGCTGGAGAAATACTGCCTATGCTCTCATTCTAGCGCCACCACTCCCTAGTTGTGTGACCTCCAGAAAGTACTTACCTCCTTGTCACACTGTAAGATATGTCTACTCTGCATCTAGAGGCAGTGTAGTATACATAGGCTGGAGAAATACTGCCTATACTCTCATTCTAGCGCCACCACTCCCTAGTTGTGTGACCTCCAGAAAGTACTTACCTCCTTGTATCTAAGTTTCCTCCTGTACAAAATGAAGATACTAGTACCCACCTAATAAGGGTGTCACAAATCACATCAAGAGGCTAGAACAGTGCCTGGCACTTAGTAAACAGTCAAACTGTTATTCAACTCTGCTAACCCAAATTGTTTTGTTGTATAACCCTATGATTATATCATAACTGAATTTAATTATGTAGTTTCTCTCCCAAATTGTAATTTGGAAAACTAACTTTTAAGTTTTGCTAGTTATTAGCAGCTTTCTGGGGCATATTGGAGAAGTCATGTTATCCAAATATTTGAGTCTCAACACAATCTCGGTTTGAATTGTTAAAAGTAAATATAAATGTAGTACATCACAGTTAAATATAGCAGAGTTCAGCCACGTGAAATGCTATACAGATCCATAGCATACATCAGAATCAACTGAAGGGCTTATTAAAACAGACACTAGAGTTTCCGATTCAATGTGTCTGGGACAGAAACCCAAGAATTTTTATCTCTAACAAGTACCCTAGGTTATGCTGACACTGCTTGTCAGGGTTCATACTTTGAGCCTCACTCATGCAGATGAGTTTGAAAGCTGCTAAAGAGGCCCCAAGTTAATTTAACTGTTACTTAAAATCAAATGTGTACCAATTTATGATTTGGGGGTGATAAATACCTTTATAATGTTTCCCTAGCTTGGCTGCACACTGAAATTATCTGAGGAGGTTTTTTAAAATGCTGATGTTTGTGTCCTGCCCCAAGAGATCCTAATTTAATTGGTCTGGGGTGAGACCCGGGCACTGGGAATTTTAAAAGGTCCCCCAAATGACTCTAATGGCAGCCAAAATTGAGAAGTATTGTATTAAAGGGCCTAAAAAGAAAAGGCTCTTTTCTCTTCATTGGTTATTCTTGGAGTTTTTTAAGTCTGTTTTTGTACTTTATCAGCAAAAACTAACATTAAGAGGATGGACACTTAAATGTCAGTCCCACAGGTTGCCAGTGACCTACTGGTAAAAGATTTTTGCAATGGTTCTCAACACTGGCTGCACACAAGAATCACCTTGAGCCGATTTTTAAAATATCATTCCAAGGGCTCATTCCCCAGGGAGTCATTTGGTATTTTTTAAATGCTACCCAAGTTGAGAATCATGGCTTTTGAGGTTTAAGGAATATAGTGGAAAAAAATAAAGAGCCAACCAGCTGGAGAACATGAAGGAAAATGCATATCAAAAGAATACATTCACAAACCAAGCAGAAAACTTGACATTTTGATAAGTTAAAGAGTAACACTAAAATGGTTTACATCCCCAATACAGTATTTATTAAATACCAAGTTTTAAAAAGTGCAATACAAATGGATGAATCTGCAATAATGCAAATGAATACAGATGACTTCACATAAATAAAATCAGCAATACTAGAAGAAAATTTTAATTTTGCTACCAGAACAATGAAGAGGCCCAAGTGAAAGTTGCATAGGACACTTCCTACAACAGTGATTTACAACTGCAGGGGGAAAGTTCCCCAGGCAGTGTGCTGCCCCACCCGACTCCCACCTTACTCAGGCTAAGAATTCCTATCATAGAGCTAAGGGCCAGAAACCATTCAAAAAGCAAATTTAAAATAGAAACCAATGTCTGAGAACCAAACAGATGCCTTGAAAAAAAAAAATCTACCCTGAAAGAATCCGCTTTAATTCAGGACTGGGAAGATTGACAGCAACTTTTTGTGTTTAATTGTTTCAAGCATTAAATACACCATTAAATCAACATTACTGCATGTAGACATTTAAGCCCTATGATCATTATTTGATGTACATTACCATTATTAATGATATTTTCACATTTAAAAACTACATAAGAATTTCACAATACATACAACTACTCTAACCTGCTTCAGCAAATATAAACAAACACTCTCACGCCTATTTATTAAGGCTATACATTCCACTTGATAAAAAAAAGTGATGGACAGCAGTGATTTCCAATTAAAAAAAACCAAAAGACAGTGTTAATTTTTCTGAAAGCCAGACTCTAGTCACACAGAGGCATTTTATTGTAAGGTATAGGCAAAGCAACTTCAGGGGAAAAGAATGAAATAGATCAACATTTAAAAGAATGAAATAGATCAAAATTTAAGATACATTTAAATTTTTATTTAAAATACATTTAAATTTTTATTTAAAATAAAAAACAAAACAACAAAAAAAGCTGAATAAAAATGATAAAGGTAAAAACATGTTGCTCAAAAAAACCCTTAAGAAACTTAAGAAATTATTAGGATATAAAACTTTAGCTTCCCTACAGTCAAAATTTTATTCACAGAAAGTTGTAGGTTGGTTGGTTGGTTGTTAAAACCCTATTTGAAAAGGTCAAAAATTAAAATAATTGCTTTTCTTCTCTGTTCTATTAGTATTATTTCACGGAATTGTTGTAGGTTTTATCTGAAAGAAGGATGTAAAAACTTGAAAGCAAGAGCAGGGAAAGGGGAGTGAAAGATCGAGAATAAATTGTTGAGAACAAATTTCATAAAACTTGACTTCACTTATGACACATGGGTAGAAAGAGCAAACCAGCCTTCTTCATTTTGTTTCTCAATCTGTTGAACAAAGATGTAGAAAGGATTTAGAAGGTAACCAGAAACATGAGACCACTCAAGATTTGTAGATCATTTAGACCAAGTACATAAAACAAAGTCATCCTGTGCCATTGAATGGTACTGGAAACTAAACTGCTACTGGCAATTTTTATTCTCTAACAGAAACACTACCAAATAACTTATTACCTGGTCAACAGATCCTCTTACTGATTTAAGAGTCCTAATTTTTTTTAAAAAAGGACAAATCCAGTGTTTTATACTAATCCTAGTTACAACTTTTAAAAATGATAAAAAGAAAGTTATTTGGTCTTAGTAAATTAAATGTTACTAAATTCCAGGAACTAAGGGTAAATTACATAAAATAGCTTACTTTAAAGCTTTTTTAGAATTTAAGTAATAGCAAAAACCAAATCTTATAATGCTGGGTAGTCAGTGTATCTAAACCTATCAATTAATTAGGGCTGTAAGCGCCCACTCTTTGATCTAATTACTGAAGTTAGTAATAAGAATAGCAAAGATTCCCCCCATGTGAGACAATCGTTGGTTCAAGTCTGCAAAAGTAATTTTTATAATTTTAAAGATATCCTCTCAATTTACTATGACCAAACACTCGAACTATATTTTGCTCTATTACCAACACAGAAAAATGCCTTCTACAAAATTCCTATAGCAAATCAAAACACAAGAATACAAAAGATATTTATTTACCCTTGTGCCATAACCTGTCTAACCAGTGGTACATTTAGATATGGCACACTGGCTATCCTAATCCCAGCCAGCCACAGCAAGGACCGGGAAAACCAATACCTACAACCCATTCAAGGCACACCTGTGTGCCCTGCCACAATATTTGGGAAGCTCTGCCTGAAGCCAGTAATTCCAGCTTCCTTTAAGGACTGTTGAAATCCTATTTTTACGTTATTCCCTAGTTATCCTAGAAAACAAAAGAAGTATATGGCTTATTTGTTTTTTTATTGAAGGTAAATTAGTATTTCTTCTGAGAATTTTACATCATCTTTAGGATAATAGGAATAATAATTAACAATGGAAATCACTAAACCAATCACCTTCCACCCTTGCCCTCCTGACCCCTACACACGTTTCACAATTACATTTTATCACGCACCTTTGCTCTTGGATTAACAGGTGTGAATTGTCCACTTCCTGAGGTGGCATTTAATGGAGAACAAGAATTACAAGTAGCCCCTGAGGACCTATTTATGAGAAATAAAGTGAGAGAGTAAGCTATCATTATTAACCTTCAAAAATCATGCAAACAACTGACAATTCTCAATACCGGCAAGAGCCTGAAAAGGAATGGCTGATTTAGGTCCAGTTGAGGTAACTTATTTGTAACATATCTTGACCAACTTTTTTTTTAAGTAATAAACTTTTTTAGAGTAGTTTTAGGTTTACAGAAAGATTAAGTAGAAAGTACAGAGTTCCGTAACCCCACCTCCGACATACACAGTTTCCCCTATTATGAACATCTTGCATTAGTGTGTCCATCTGTTACAACTGATGAGCCGATATTGATACGTCACTATTTAACTAAAGTTCATAGTTTACATTAGGGTTCTCTCTTGGTGTTATATACTCTATGGATTTTGACAAATGTATAATGGCATGTCCCTGCCATTACAATAACATACAGATAAGTTTTAATATTTAAGGGAAAAAATGGATGTGCTGGAGTGGGGAAGAAGGTAGGAGAAGAGTAACAACACCTGCAGCAGCACAGTGCAATAGTAACGATGCAGAGTGGAGACAGAGAAGCCAGGTATGTCCTTGTGTCACCATTTACCAACCATGTGACCCATGTAGGCAAATCATCCAATTAGCTCTATGAGCTTCAGTTTCACTTATTGTAAAGGAGGAAAATACTACGTCAATTTACTCACCCTGTAATATATTACCTCCTAATCATGTAACCCATAAATCCATCTACATTTGTATTATTCCATTTTTGTTTTCAGTTTTAGTTAAGGCTTGTTCCCTATTCCTCCTCTTTTTTCCCCAAAATTCTCCTCTCCAATTACTTTATTTTTGCTACATCAATGAGTCTGTCTAAACCTATGTCAGATATTATGCACTTCTTTTTTCACAAAGAGAAGCAAATACATGCTACATTCTCACATTATTGACTTTTTTTCCTGCCTCTCACTTAAAAGGATATGATTTTTTTTTTTTTTTTAAGTAACTACTCACACTGTAATCCTACCTTCTTGTATGTATCCCACTGACAGGAGAGACAGTACTGCATTTTGAGCTTTCTGGGGCTTCTGCTCCTGGAATAGATACTTCAATTGTCCTTTTTCCTCCTTCTAAAATATAAAAATAAATATTGATTTCATTACCTCTCAAAAAGATAAAAGTAAAAATTTCTCTTGATTTCTATCTCATTGCAAATTGCACATCACTAACTGCACATTACAAATAGAGGCTCTTTCCATATTTTTATCATTATGGCCTGCAGAAACATTTGAAGGATTTTTTTTTAAATGAACTGTAAGACAAGAAACTTTAGAGACTAGTGTCAATTCAGTACCATGCCAGTTCATAGCGGGACAGAATCTTCAGACAAGTGGTATCATGTCAGATCTGGAAGTAAAAATCACAAATTAAGAGGTAGCTCTAAAGAACTTGAGATCTTTGTCAAAACAACTTACCTAAAATTTTCCAGAAAAAGGAAAAAGAAAATTTCTGAAATCATTCAATAAAATTTTAAAACACTATTTCTGTTACTAAAGACATTAAAGTGGGAGGGAAAAGTTGGATGAAGAGTTCATATGGCCAATAGCAAGTATAGGCTGGCTAGTTAGGTCAGTTGGTTTAGAGCATGGGGTTACAACACCAAGGTCAAGGTTTCAAATCCCCATATCGGCCAGTCCCCCCCCCAAAAAAAAGCAAATATAATTATGTACATTTTCAATATTTCAGAAGTAAGTAATAAATCAACAAATATTTACTAAGTATTTACAAATGAAAGACTTTATGTCCATCCCAGGCAGTTTCACAAAGGCTCCTGTAAATCACTACTTAAAACCAGTGATTTCTAGGCTTTAGGAGATAATGAAGCCCTATTTAATTTTATAAAATATTCCTCACTTACCCTAGAAAACAAAAGAGGTTTCTCATGTCATATGGTTCATTTTAATTTTTATCCTTATAGGTCACAGAGGTTCCTCTGAAACCAAGAATTTTACTTACAAAAAGAACACCTTAGAGATATAACCACTTTCAGAATGGAAAGCAAATCCACAATTTGGTTTGGAACTTCAGACAAATCACTTAATCTCTTTGTGACTCAGTATACTATTTATCAAATAGGTATAAAATTAGCTCTGTATACCCTCAGGGTTTGTTGAGGACTAAATAACAAAAATAAAAGCATTTTTTTAACTTTACAGAACTATTGAAACAGAAGATGTCATATTTAATCACAAAATTATTCTTAAGAGTGAACTGCTTCATTTTTCTTCATTGCACTTAGCACTAACTGATATTATCTCATATATTATTTGTTTGTTGCCTACTCCCCAACTTGAATGCTGGAGTATTCAAGTCCATATATCGCAGGTAATAGTAGGTGTTCATACACATTTGAGTAATTTATTTATTCTAATCTGAAGTTGCCTCTAGACTTTGTGACTATGAAGAAGAGGAGACAAAGCTGTCATATGAGGAAGGCTAGAGTAAACAAAGAGGAAGGGCCAAAGAGAAATGCATTGCCAATCATTTTTCAGTAATTTCCAAAAGAGTCTGTTCCCTGGGTCTGTAATTTTAAAAAGAAAATAATTTCTAACTGAAGGGAAAACTCTAACTGGCAGATAGATATCTTAAAGATAAACTACTTCAGCCGGCCACAGGACATATAAATCCCTCTAAAACACCAGTGTTTGTACATCCCGGGGAATATATCACCTCCTGATAACAGAACTTTTTCTCTTCCTGACAATTAGAACCTTCTCTTATAGTGGGCCAAAATCAGTCTCTCTGTATTCTTCAGCTCTATCCCTCGAGGGTCTTAATAATTCAATTTCTGCCTGAAAAGCAACGTGAGATCTACTTATTTCATCAGTATCTTTTGAATGTGGATACTATAACAACTAATTTTTTCAGTTACTATTCTATTATTCAGAATCCCCTCCAGCTTTTCACATTTCTAAATGTACCAATAGAATAGAAAGCTTAATTAACAAATGGAAATGTTTTAATGGTTTTAACAGAATAATGACTTGTAATTTGTTGCTGGTGAAATTCTAAGTTATCATTTTGATGCTTATATTTTATAATCAGCTGCAGTATATGTCCTAGGTGAATCATATACTGCAATGAATCCCCCTTAGAAGTAGGACAATTTAGAAATTCAGATACCAAAGATTAACTATAGGCATCATGGTATGGAAAGAATCAGGAGACCTGCTATGTACTCTTATTTCAGTCATTTATTCTGTGATTTAGGCCTGTTTCTTTCTATGTAAAATTGAAGGCACTAAAATATATGCTGTGATTGAGAAAGTGAAAACCTTCATATTTCTACTTATTAAATCATAAATTTGTGACCAACCAGTCCATGCTCTGAGAAGTGACTGAACAGGTGACACTTGTGGAGAGCAAGGATTCAAACCAACAAGTTTCTGCTGCTCTATCAACTGCAGGAGTTTTCCACGGGCCTCCATACTCTGTCGATTCAATTCTGCAATCCGTTCCTCCATGCTACTTGGTGATAGAGACTGTGCTACTGGAAAATTCTTTGGGGAGAAAAAGAGGGCACAAATTCAATACTGACAAAAACCCCACATAATTTTGACTTTTCTACTAAGTGCCAGCAAGTTAGTATTTGAAGCCCTTGATATATACAAATGTGAATAGTGGGCAAACAATAGAATTTACAAATCATTTCATTGAAAAATTAGGGCTAAAGTAAACAGATACTAATCCTTCTACTACGAGTGCCACATAAGCCCTCCAGTCCCTCTAAGCACACACTCTGTGAGATGAAGCTTTCCTGCTTAGTATTTGCTGAGCTGCACAAAAGTGTAAACGGATACTAATCCTTCTACTACGAGTGCCACATAAGCCCTCCAGTCCCTCTGTCTAAGCACACACTCTGTGAGATGAAGCTTTCCTGCTTAGTATTTGCTGAGCTGCACAAAAGATCACATGAGCAAAGAGACTACATGTGATCCAGTGAGCTGGTCTCTAAGTAAAATGCTAAATGCCACACACCTACTGATGACACATCTGGGGTTTGAAAGATTACAAAAGAGGATCTGCTATATTTGAAACAAACGCTTCTGTAATTATAATCTTCAAACATGTACCATGAGTTATTTGGCAAAAATTCTGGAAACCTTGTCACTCCTTCTGACCATGTGTCAGCCTCTCCAGGCCACTTTTGGCCTAAGATATCTGATTCAAGAACAGTTGGTGACTGAAGCAAAATATGAGAAGTAGAGTAAAAAATGGCCACCAATGGAATATAACATAAGTTTAATTTGAAAATTCCCAAGAGAAATTCACTTATGTCATGCCTAATTATTTCATTTAGTTAAATATGTCCCTGTGAGAAAAAATCCCTAATAGAAATTACTAATTTGTAGCTTATGCCTATTAGACAAAAGAAAAAAAAAAAAAAAGCAAAACAGTATGAATTAAAGACCATCTTGTATTTCCTATTAAAACAAAAGTGGTGAGGGCAGCAATATCAAATTGTTCTTTCTAGCCTGATCTACATACTAATTAGAAAATGTTCAGGAGATACAAAGCTGATTGTCGCCCCATGTGCCAAAGATGTGAAGGCCAGATTCATACTGGCAGCGTGTTCATTACCACAAATTGCGTTTGTACCCCGTGTACCCCACCCGATTATCCCCATCCAAGAGTTGCCTGTTTCAAATAATCTTCAAAACTATGAACATATAAATGTCTCCTATTGACTCAAAATTGAGGCACTTTGTAGTTATATACACCTGTACCGATGACTGCTACCTACTCCTTTCTGACTCCTCTTCTGCCAGTCCCTTCTAACAACTATTTCTGTAACTCACTACCCATATTGTCCTTATTCCCCATAAGCCAGTGCTGACAGAGGTGCCCCTTACTCCCATCTCCTCCTAACCTTCCTCACCAAAGGCCTCAATCCACTGATTTTTAAAGCCCTTACGGATACAGTGATCTCAGGAGCTCCTAATCCATGGTGAAGCTGTGTAGCTCCTTCCGACTACTAAAACACTTTACTGTCCCCTATCAGAACCCTGACAGGAGTCCCCTTGGCTCAACAAGGGGCAAAAGGAAGTGTCTCCCATCACTGGGACCAGCATAAGAAGTGTTATAAACACTACCCAATTGAAACTGCAAATCCCTTTTCTCCCCACAAACAATGAAATAAAGGTTTAAGTTACCAGGTTAGCACTCAATGTTTATTTAACTTACAAAATTCCTGCACTATAACATGCAGACCTTCTCTACTCAAAGTGTGGTCCTTGGACCAGCGGCACTGGCATCATTTGAGAACTTAATAGAAATGTACATGTCCTACCCTAGACCTACTCAAACAGAAGCCATGTTTTAGCAAGATCCCCAGGCAATTCAAATGCACATTAAAATCTAACTTTAATAATCCTTTAAAATATCATTTCTATAGGAAAATCCATCTGTGTCTTAACAAATTAACTACTCATGAGTTGAGGGCCAACTATTATTTTATGAGCCATTTGAAAGGGTAAAAACACTTTGAATTAAAATGTAGTTGTGTGGCAAACTTTCAAGTCATATTAATTCTACACTGTGTACTTGAAACAGCTTAATCTTAGCTTTCCTACACATTTTACCTTTGTCCTATTTTCCTCATTCACATATTTTTTCTTTTATGTTGTCTTCTATTGTGTGTGTGATATAACTAATAAGTAACTTCTACTCATTTTGTGATGAGGACATGCAAAAAGCATAAGCCATCTAGTGGGAGCCTCACAGCTATCCAGCATCACTTCTGAAAAGAAGCCTCTTAAAACGCCCAAGCTTAAGTCGATATAACTAATAAGTAACTTCTACTCATTTTGTGATGAGGACATGCAAAAGCATAAGCCATCTAGTGGCAGCCTCACAGCTATCCAGCATCACTTCTGAAAAGAAGCCTCTTAAAACGCCCAAGCTTAAGTTCCTACTTAGATTCCTGGATGTCCCTAGTCAATCCTTGACTGGTACTCACAGCAGTCATGTTGCTTGCACTTTCCTGCTTGTTCAACTCCTGGAGTCCATCCCCTTGCTCTCCCCCTGGCCCAATAATATTCAGATGTGCCTTGACAGCCGAATTCCGCAGTGTTAACTCAGCAATTCGCGCCATTATGTCCTTTCTTTGTGTTAACAGCTCACTTGTTCTAAGCTGTTGCCCATCTCCTAATACCAGGGGCTCTTCTGAGAACACAGGATTTCTTGATTGCTGTATACTGGAATGGGAATTGCAGAGAGGCTGTGAGAGGTTCACAAAAGGAGCCTGAGTTTTGTTCTCCAAATCTTCTCCCATGTGAGAGACTCTCCACCTCTCAGTGAAGAGATGGCTCTCCTCACTTGAATTCTGAATGTCTGTATCAATAGGTAAGGTCTTCTTTTCCCAATTTGGTTCCTTCTCAACTAATTCCACAGTTGGAGGAATTTGTGGAGCAGGACGAGTTTGAACAGTCCTCCTCAATACTGTAGATAAGAATTAAAAAATAATAAACATGTATTATTTTCCCATAGATTGGCATTATAATTATCTCATTAGCCCATCATGGTCGTTAGAGAAGTATTTCAGTAGAAGGGTTTGGCTTCTGAATGCCTAAATTATTTTCAGCAGGGAATATATCAGCAATGCCATCCATAACGACCAAGTACAGAGACTTTTTATATTCTTTAAAGCATTTATCAGTATCCTTGTAAAAAAAACTATCTGCCAAGTTCACATTTTAACACACATATTAACTCATATCTTGGAATCTTGTAGAGATAAAGAGTAAAGTGGGAGAGTGCAGGTATGCAATTTAAACTGAGGATGGCCAGGAAAGGCCTCTCTGAGGAAGTAAAATTTTTAAATGATTAAATACATAGTAGAAAGTGGAGCAAAGGACATTATGGGCAGAGAGAACAACATATGTGAAGGCTCAAAATAGAAAACAGCAAAGAAGGGAAGCCAGGGTACCTGCAGCATAGTAACAAGAGGAGAGCTGGAAAAACGAGACTGGAGAGGTGTGCAGTGGCCATTTCTGGCAGAGCCTTTTAGACCGTTGTAGGAATTTTTATAATTTAATTGAAGAGCAATGGATACCTAGAGAAGGCTTGGCAATGACTCAATTTACATTTCTTAAGTGCTGTGGATAATTGAAGGTAGCAGAAATGGAAGTAGGGAGTTCAAGAAGTAACTGCAGTAGTCTAGAAGAAAGATGATGGTAGCTTTGGCAATGGTATGATGACAACAGAA